TTAGTTTTGTTCGTATGGGTTGCTTTACAAAACCCTAATCACCAAGGAGTCAATTGATAGCCTACCTTGAATTTTTAGGGGAAAAAAATGTTATGAATACTATTAGTAACTACATTTATCATTATTGATATTATCTTTATTTGCAATAATGTTGAATTATACAGCATTTTGGTGATTGATTAACTGGTATTTGTATTTCAGAATCATGGTTTTCTGTAACTCCTGAAACTATTGCTATCCACCATGCATACCGATGCAGATGTGACGTGGTTGTAGATGCCTTTTGCGGTGCTGGGGGAAATGCCATTCATTTGGCAGAGACATGCAAACATGGTAAATAGATTATTTGAAAATAAATCTTGCCTCTATACTAGATATACTCCTGTATTGGCTTATACAAAAATGTGATATATAAAAAACAAGAAATCTCTTGATTTTTTATAGGCTCTGTTTCATAATATACATTTGTTAATCCATTGCCTCCAGTTAAATTTTGGGTACTCCCAGGCTTTTCTATGGGTACTATGTACAGATACTCAGCCTTCACTCTTGGGCCTTTTTGAGGTTCAGGCATCGTTGTAATCCAGCCTCATTTCATAACAGAATTGACTTCTTTATTGTAGTAGTGTTTGTGAGCATTTTCTTGTAATTAACTTTTGATTGGTTTTGCATATTCTAAGGTCTCTGTTAGATAACTTGATTGGATGTCCCAAAGATGTAATGAAATGGAGTTAATTTTAGCTGATTTTGTGGCTTTTAATATATATGATATCTGCTATTTTTTGTTGGCTTAGAGATTGACATAGAAATATAAATATTTACAACTTCTGTGTCCCAGGAGTATTCTGCTCCTATAAGTTACATAGTGTAGTATTGAGATACACAATTTAAAGCTGCTGTTGAGTGGACCCTTACTTAGCAGATATCCCTTCTCAACACTCATCTAGCAAGAAGTTATACCATGCCAAATGTGTTAAGACCTCCTATTAGGTGCACCTAATAGGAGAAAAAATATCTTGCTAAAACCAAGAATGGCTACTTACGGTTCACTGAGGTTGAAGCAGCAGTCTATTTCTTTCCTCACTGGATGAGTACCTAGAAATATGCTAAAATTACACAGATATTGGATATAGACACAGGGAGTGAGTAGAGACTTAACAGGAGACAACAGTAGAAGCTATGTGAGACCTTGCAAATGAATACTTTATGGGACCTGCTGTCCCCCTTTAACACATATTGTCAGGCAATCAGATCACACCATAGTCCCACATTCCTCAGGGAATGTCCCTGGCCATTTGACATCACAATATATTATGTATCATTGACATCTCCCTCCCCCTTCCCCTTTCAGTTCTGCACCTCCACAGTACCTTAACATTGAACAAATGAGTTCTAAATGTTCTAAGTTATCATGGTATCATGTTGGGAGGTTCACATAATTCACAAGGAAGACATTTTAATGAAGACAAAGTGAATATGATGCCCTCTGTAGGCAACAGGTTAACAATATGTATGCCTACTCCATTGCCAAAAAATAAGTAAATAGCTAAAGAAAGGATTGTGTATTATCCTTCATTTTCATACACTTACCCACAGTACTGCTTATTGCAAGTCTTTTTTTATACATCATACCTACCATTTGAAATTTTCTTTCAGTTGTTGCAATTGATATAGATCCTGAGAAAATTGCATTGGCATATCACAATGCAACAGTGTATGGTGTAGCAGACCGTATAGATTTCATTGTTGGAGACTTCTTTAAACTTGCTCCATTTTTAAAGGTAAATTATGAGAGTATTATATTTGACTGACAAATATATTTCAGGTTATAGTATTTGAGATTATAGTAAAGTACCCACTCTGAATACAAATTATATTTTATGGGGTTTTACACTCTCACCAAAATTTCTTGTACTCCAGGCTGATGTTGTATATTTGAGTCCTCCTTGGGGTGGTACGCAGTATATGCAGGAGAAGGTGTATAATGTAAAAGCCTTGGGTGGACTCATTAACTGTGAGACACTTATAGCTACAGCACAGGAAATAACAAAGGACATAGCTGTCTTTTTGCCAAAGAATAGTGATTTATATCAGGTTTGTTTATGATTATAAAGGTAGTTTGATGATTTTCATTTATGATAAAGTGGATAGTGTGAATTACCAAAAAACTGAACAGCCTAACTACTTATAAACAAAATTTTCTTTTATACAGTAAGTTAAACCCATTTCCTTGAGCTATCCAACTTTGACTAATTATAACTGTTTTTTCAGATAATTGAGCTAGCAGGATTTGGAAACTCAGTTGATATTGAATACAGCTTAATGGGAAACAAGGTAAAAGCACTGACAGCATACTTTGGTGACCTTGTATACTGCTAAAATGCAGTAGTATGAAATTGCTTGTCATCTTTTGATTTATTCCATAAACATGTGAAATTTTAAACATGTTCCAGTTTTATTCGGTAAAGGAATCTTATGTTTTCGAGGAAGTAAGTCCACA